AGCATGGTATATTCTTCCCTTTGCTAATATCTCCTGCTATTTCTTTTCTTAAGGTTTCTTAGTTTTCTTTGTAGAGGTACTTCATCTCTTTTATTAGGTATGTTCCTAACTATTTCATTTTTTTGAAGCTACCGTGAAGAGAATCATGTCCTTGATTAGCTTCTCATCTTGGCTATTATTGGCGTATACAAAGGCTACTGATTTGTGGACAATAATTTTATATCCTGAGACATCACTGTATTTTTTGATCACTTCCAGGAGTCTTATGGTTGAGTCTTTGGGGTTCTCTAAGCATAAGATCATATCATCAGCAAAGAGCAAGAGTTTGACCTCCTCTGCTCCCATCTGGATGCCCTTTATTTCCTTCTCTTGCCTGACTGTATTGGCTAGACCTTCGAGCACTATGTTGAATAGCAGTGGTGATATAGGACAACTTTGTCTGATTCCAGTTCTAAGTGGAAAAACTTTCAGTGTTAATCTAGTCAGTATATTAGCTATGGGTTTGTCATAGACGGTTTCAATCAGATTAAGAAATGTGCCACTTATGCCTAAATTCTTCTAGTGTTCTAATGAGAAAAGGATGTTGAATTTTACTGAGTGCTTTTTCTACATCTATTGAGAGGATCATATGGTCTTTGTTTTTGCTTCTGTTGATATGGTGAATTATGTTTAAGGACTTGCATATGTTAAACCAACCTTGCATCCCTGGGATGAAACCTACTTGATCATGATAAATGATTTTTTTAATGTGTAGCTGTAATCTATTGGCTAGGATCTTACTGAAAATTTTTGCATCTATATTTATTAGTGAAATCAGTCTGAAGTTCTGCTTTGCAGTTGGGTCTTTTCCTGGTTTTGGTATAAGGGTGATGCTTGCTTTGTAGAACATGTTGGGGGAAGATTCCTTCCTACTCAACTTTTTAGAATAATTTCTGCAGTATGGGAATAAGCTCTTCTTTGAAGGTTTGATAGAATTCTGGTTTGAAGGCATCTGGACCGTGCATTTTTTTCTTGGGAGAATTTTTATTGTTTCTTCAATCTCAGTTCTTGACATTGGTCTGTTCAAGAAATCTATTTCTTGGTTAAGTCTAGGAAGAGGGTATGATTCCATGTTTTGATCCATTTCCTCCACATTGTAAAATTTCTGGGCATACAGTTTTTGTAGTACTCAGAGATGATCTCTTGCATATCTATGGAAGCTGTTACTTCCCCTTTATCATTTCCAATCGAGGTTATTAGAGATCTTACTTTTCTATTTCTAGTTAATCTGGCCAAAGGTTTATCGATGTTACTTATGGTTTTGAAAACTAACTTTTTGTTTCATTAATTTTCTGAATAATTCTTTTGTTTTTAATTTCATTCATCTCTGATTTAATTTTGTTTATTTCTTCTGCTAAGTTTGGGATTAGATTGTTCTTTTTCCAATTCCATAAGATGGTTCATGAGTTTGTTGGTATGTTCTCTTTCTGTTTTTTGAATGTAGGCATCTAATGTGATAAATTTCCCTCTTAAGACTGCTTTTGCTGTATCCACAGTTTTGGTAACTCGTCTTCACTGTTGTTATATTTGAAGAATTTAACAATTTCCTCTTTTATCTCTTCCTGAACCCAAATATCATTCAGCACAGGGTTGTTTAATTTCCAAGTCTTTGTGTGAGGATGAACGTTTTTGTTGTAGAGTTCCACCTTCCTTGCCTTGTGTTCTGAGAAGATACAAGGTATAATTTCTATTCTTTTAATTTTGCTGAGGTTTGATTTTTACACTAGGATGTAATCTATTTTGGAATATGTACCATGGGCTAATGAGAACATGTATATTCTTTAGCTTTGGGATGGTGTGTTCTGTATATGCCTATTAATCCGATTTGTTCTAGGGTCACATTTAAGTCCCTTGTAACTTTGTTTAGTTTCTATTTAGAGGATCTCTCTAGTTATGTCACAGGAGTATTAAAGTCCCCAACTATTATAGGATATCATGTTGCTCAGACTCATCAAGGTCTGTTTCATGTCTCAGAGCATTTAAATTGGGTGCATAAATACTTAAAATTGAAATGTCTTCTTGTTGTGTTGTTCCTCTGACCAGTATAAAGTGTCTACCTTTGTCTTTCTTAACTTTAGTTGCTTTAAATCCATTTATATCTGAAAATAAAATCGCAACTCCTTTCTTCTGATTTTCATTTGCTTGAAATACTGTTTTGCATCCCTTAACCCTGAGTTTTGATTTGTCATTTGAGGCTAGGTGTGTTTCCTAAAGACAGCACATGGATGGCTTGTGGTTTTTTATCCAATCAGCCAGCCTGTGCCTCGTTAGTGGTGAATTCAATCCATTGAAATTTATTGAGAGAACTGGTAAGTGTGGTGGAATTCTATTCATATTATTTTGTGAAAATCCGTTGTGTAGTTTTATCCTTTGCTCCATTGTGGAAGCTAAGTTTTGACATTTAGTTTCTGGGTGTTTACTTTGCTAGTGGTCCATTATGATGGTCACTGTTGAGAAAAGTCCAAGTCAGGCATCCTCAAACTATGGCCTACAGGTCACATGTGGCCCACCGAGGACATTTATCTGCCCACCAGGTGTTTTTGCCACTGTTGCCTGTCCTGCTTAGCAGGCAACTCATCCCAGGACCTGCAGTCCAGCCCTCCAACGGTCTGAGGGACAGTGAACTGGCCCCCTGTTTAAAAAGTTTGAGGACCCCTGGAAGTATTTCCTGTAGAGTTGGTCTTGTGGTAAATTTCCTCAGTGTTTGTATTTCTGCAAAAGATTTGATTTCTCCATCAATTTTGAAGCTTTGTGTAGCAGGATACAGAATTCTGGGCTGAAATTGTTTTGTTTAAGAATGTTGAAGATGGACAACCATTCTCTTCAGGCTTGGAAATTTTCAGGTGAAAAGTCTGCTATCATCCTAATGGCTCTGCCTCTAAAGATTAGTTGGCACTTACTCCCGGCTGATTGCAGAATTTTTTCTTTCATCTTGACTTTGGACAGATTCATTACAATGTCTCTTGGAGAAGCTGTTTGGGTTGAGATGACCAGGGGTTCGATATCCATCTGAAAAGTGTGTCAGAATCTTTAGAAAAACTTAGTAAGTTTTCATTTATGAGAGTCCCCAGGAGGGCTTCCATTCCTTTGGAACAATCTTCTTCCCCTTCAGGGATCCCTATTATTCATATGTTTGAACACTCATAGTTCTCTAAGCAACTGTTCTGCTTTCTCTCTCTTCTTTTCTGCCTCTTTGACTACCTGAGTTAACTCATACTTTATCCTCTATCTCTGAGGTTCTTTCTTCTCTATGGTCTAATTTAGTTTTGATACTTTCTATTGCATC